TACCCCTCTCCAAATATTTTTTCAGAACTATCGTTTCTGGCTCTGGGAACTCATTGTCCCCTAGAAGCAATGCCTTTTGATGGAGCAGGACATGAGAATACCCATTCTGGGTAACCTAGGAACAGAGTGCCATGAGAAGAAGTGACTAGAGGTTTTGAGACCTGCTCCCCTGGCACAACTGCTGGTGATGTAGGAGAGAGTCTGTAGCAACCAGCCCTATTCTGCTGCTGAGCCAGGAAGGCAGTTGGCTGGGCTCCAAGCCCCAGTTCCCCACCACTCATTCCTCTGAGGCAGATTTACAGGGCACTACAGAATCTCCCTGGACTGTGGAGGCAGACAACCAGGATTTACATCCTGGCTTTACTCCTGACTGCCTCAGTGACTCCATTATACATCTAAGGGGAAGTCATCACCACCTGCTTTGCAAGGGGTCATAAACATAAAAATTAACTAACATTAGAATGTAAACTCCCCAAAGGCAGGGATTTTGTTTCATTTTTGTTTTAGCTGCAGTTCTAGAACCAACCCTGGTAGACCCTGACACATGCAGATGCTAATTACACATTTACTGAAAGACTGAACTGTAACTCCAAACTAAAAGACAGTTTTTACATCAAAAGCTGAAATAAACACAAACAACTTGAAATTAACTCGGGCTCAGTCAGTCATGTTCATTAGTGAACTTTAAAGTTCCCTATGATTAGCTTTCAGTCTTACCAAGAGGCTTCCTAAGGGTTGACTGATCAATCGAGGGGCACAATTAGGTTTTGGGTACCTTTGACCAATGTCATGAAATTGTCTTTCTCAATAGCTCAACATCAAATATGGGTAGGTCCCCCACTTCTTTTTTTCCCCTCACTTGTTTTTTTTTTTTTTGGTCTTTTTGAGACAGGGTCTCCCTGTAGCCCCAGCTGTCCTGGAACCTGGAACTCCCTTGGTAGACCCAGCTGGAAATAATTGTCATTGCCAAGACTGTTATTTCATTACAGTGCTGGTGCTCAGTGTGCCCCACCCTAGACCTCTGCCTGCTGCCTCATCTGTGTCCCTTGCTGTTGGGATCCAGCAGAGATGAGAGGGGCAGACGTATGTCTTCCTCAGCCCCTCCCCACTGTACTGGCTTCTCAGGGCTGTCATAACTATTAGGTGATTATTTTGGGGACAGGGTCTCCCTGTAGCTTCAGCTGGCCTGGAACTCACTAATGTAGACCACTGGCCTTGAACTCACAGAAATCCTCCTGCCTCTGCCTCCCGAGTGCTGGGATTAAAGGCGTGTGCCACCACGCCGGGCTCTCACTTCATTTTAAAAAATGTATTTATTTTTATTTGTTATGTGCATGAGTATTTTGCCTGCATGTAAGTGCATCATGTCATGCAATGCCCACAGAGACCAGAAGAGGGTGCCAGATCCCTTGGATCTGGAGTGACAGACGGTTGTTAGCTACCACATGGGGTGCTAGGAACTGAATCCAGGTCTTCTCTAAGCACAGCTAGTGCTCTTAACAGCTGAGCAATCTCTCTAGTTCCCTTCACTTCTGACAGAGATCTGCCTTCCTTGGCCTCCTGAATGCTAGGATTAAATCCCTCACTTCTAATCACTGCATTAATACCATGCACGTTCCTTTCTCTCACCTGTCTCTTTCTTACCACACTTGAAGGACTGGAGACCCAACATGAGGGGAGAAGACCCTGTTTTTCTCCCTGCCCCAAATTAACTTCTCACTTTGGGGCTAGTCAAGTTCTTGGTACTAGGTCCCTTAGAGACTGTCTCCCTGTGTAGAGATGTTTTTGGGAAATCCTACAATAAAAAAGACTAAGTACTCTTAGGGGTTAGAGGTGGTTACTGGTGGCCCGGCTGTGGGATTCAGAGCCCCAGCATGCCATTTCTTCCTTCCATCTACTAATGCTAGACAACTCGAGTCAGAAACTTCCATTCACATCCTAGCTGGGCATTGTAACAATGACTTTGGCAAAACCACAACCACTTGAGTATCTTCTATAAAATGGACTGACCGTCACAGGGATGTGATAGTTTCTGTTGATGGACTTAATGGGCTTCTATTAAGAGCAGGGCCCAAGATACCACTAGGAAGTAAAAGTGGTGTCTGTGAGCCTCTGAGAAGTTTATGAGCTGTTCTGAAAACTAAATCCATGAAGCTGTGCCTGTTTCTCCACCTTTAAAACTTTTGGCGGGGTTAGGCTGTGGGGTTTCTTAAGTTCCATCCTTGAGATTAAGACCTCAAAGTGTTTAATATTTACCTTCCCTGCTTCAAGGGAATGTTAGAAGGATAAAGCAAGCTCAGAGTTGTAGAAGAGCTTTGAAGAGGAAGTCACACATACAAACAAGGCATTAATTATCTCAGATCATTTCTTTGAGCTCATCTTCATAGACACCTATAATATGCATAACCCAGGGGCGAACAACAGGGACAATTGTTCCTTAGCAATATGGAAACTGTTGTTTGCTTGGCCAAACTTGAGAGTGTGTATGTGCCTGCAGGATAACCCTTTCAACCTGGTTGGATTCAGACTGGGACATCCACTTATCATGGATGAGAAGTCTGGGTGGTGAGGTAGAAAGGATCAGCAGTTGAAGACCAAGAGCCAAGAGGACACACATTAAGGAGAGATACCTACATTTTTTTTTGGTTGTGGAGTTTCATTTATTTAAAATTTTTATTTATTTTTGCAGCTCTGAGGATCAAATGCAAGGCCTCCTTCCACCACTGAGCTACACCTACAGCTATATTTACTTTTCAAGAGATAGGATCCTGAGCTGGCAGGATGGCTCAGCAGGTAAAAACACTTGCTGTGCAAATCTGAAGACCTGAGTTCAATCCCTAGAACTTCTGGTGGGAGGGGAGAATAGACTCCTGAAAGTTGCCCTCTGACCTCCATACACACAACCCAGGCACTTGCACACCTCACACATACATGCAAATAATAAATAAGTATTTTAAAATAGAGAAATAGGATCTTATTATGTTCTCCAGGCTGGCCCCAGACTCCTGGGAGTCAAGGGATCTCCTGTCTCAGCCTCCTGAGTAGCTGGGACTATAGGCATGCTGCACAGCTTGGGGAGTCTCAAACGGGCCTAGAAACTTGCTTTTACTTAAAACCAAAGTGGCATCTCAGTTCCTAGGAAGACTGCCCCAAGAGTCAGTGGTGTTTGCTGGGAGACAACACGCGCCAAGCATATGAACTCCCTCTTTGTTTTATAAACCAGGTGTGTTCCTGGCACAAACCTACCATTTTCACAACCATAAACCAGACATCTGAGAAAGCAGAATTTCCTTTAAAAAAAAAAAAAAAAAAAAAAGTAAAAAATAAAGGTTTAAAATGCCTGACGTCACCGGGAAGCACTGGCCAACTCAACCATGTAATCGAAAATCTGATCGGCACTTTCCCCCCAGCAGCCTCAAGCCAAGAAAGAGAAGTGACAGCTAATCTGACATTTCTTGCTTCAGTAAAGAAGATAAAGCACTCACAACCCAAAACCATACCTGCTTTCAGAATATAGCAGAGAATTTGACAATGGGGTAGGGGGGTGGATTTGCCAGAGGTCTGGTTAACCAATAAGGCTCCCTCAGGAAGCCGGAATTGGATTTGGGGCCCTGTCAGAGTTAGCATTTTTACAGGTTGGCTCAGTTGCAGTTTGTTGGCCCGCTGGTAATAAACCCATGTGCAAGAATTTAAAGTTTATGAGGCATGGCCTCTTTAATGCCTCTGCTCGACTCCCTACAGTCAAGGGTTTAAGCAGTCTGGCCTAGCCTGGGTGTTAATTGTTTTGTCAATCTGCAGTTATTTGGGAAAATATTTTTTTAAAGGCTTGTACAGACTACTCAAAAACCTCACTTCTTTTTTTGGAGAAACAAAGGAACATCATTCTGCCCCTAAGCACTGACATCCCCATTTCCAAGCTGTGGGCTCTTGTACCTAGGGTCAGAATTATGCTCACTGAAGGGCTAGAAAAATGCTAGGCAGCAAATGTTTTGAAAGCCATTTAAACTCTAGATCCCCTCTCCAGAAAAATGCATACAAAAGTTCTCTGTAACTCTGCTCAAAGATGCCGGGTTACTCTGCTGCTAGAACAATTTGGGTTTGATCCTGGGGAGGGAAACTCTGTCCTCTGTACTTGGAGCAAGAGACCCTCCACCAGCTGGCAGCTGCCTGGGTCTCATGACACTGGTTCTCTGCACCAAAGTGACCCTCCACTCTCAAGTTTTTGAACTTGAGTGGGGGGGAAGGGTAAATAAAAGATCAAAAATATCTTTGATCTCTCATTCATGGTCTCTCTCATTCAAGGCCTGCCGTCTTGGGACACCGAGTGCCACCCCCCACCCCCACCCCCCAGTGACCTAGCATCCCAGTGCCAAGATGCTAGGGAGGCAAGACAGGGCCGTTCTGTGTGATGGCCCCAGCCCAGGTGTGCCAGGCTATTCGCAGGCAGGCAACAGGGGTGCGGGCCCTCCGGGCAGGGCAGGGTTAAGAGTGCATTCCAGATGCTGGGGAAGAAGGGGGATGGGGAGGGGAGCGCGGAGAAGAGAAACAGACCCGGTCTGTCTGTCGGAGACACAAAGCACGGTTCACAAAGGGGGCCCGAGAGGGGCGAAGGGGGCTGCCCGGGGCACCGCTCATCCCCACACCTGCACCGGGGCACTGTGGGGGGTGGGGGATGTGCACAACGCATTCCTGGGCTGAGGCCAGCGGGGGAGTTCTCCTCGTCCGGGCTGGGTGCGGGGCTCAGCCTCCGGGCATCCGAGGGGTCCAGGCAAGCTGAGGCTGCCGGGCAAGGACCTGGACATTAGTGGGCGCTACACTGCGCAGTCCTAGCGCCCCCATCCCAGCCTGGGAGCCACTTTCCACGATTCTCCGGGATGTGGGGTGGCTCCAGACGTCCCCAGTCGTGGTCCACACACCCCTCCTGCGGGTCACAACAGAGCCGACCGCGTGTGGTCTTCCGCACCGCGGCTCCATCCAGGCTGGCTCCGGGGGAATCTTACCTTTCCCCAGCGCCGCGCCGGGCTCCAAACCCGGGCCTCCCACCTCCAAGGTCACTTCGGCGTCGCTGAAGCCGGTCCCGCAGGGCTCGGAGGCCACGCTGGGTAGCCAACAAACCTGAGTCTGAGGGCAGAGAGGGAAAAAAGGACACAGAGTCACAGGCGTGCTGGCTTATGCACACCCATCCCTGGGAGTCCCAGCGTCTGGGACCACCTTGGCCCCAAGGAGCGCACCTCGGAGATCTCCCCGACGCCACCGCAACGTGAGAACCCCGCCCGCCCTCCAGGGACCAGTCGGGTTAGGACCAGGGCAAGGCATCGAGGTACCTGGAGGAGGAGGAGGAGCAGGAGGAGCCGGAGGAGGAGAGAGGCGAGAGGCCCACCAAGATGCTCCATGGCTAGAGGTGAAGAGGCTGCCACGACGGCAGGACCGTGCTCCGCTAGCTCTGGGTGCAGCTTTGAGGACCTCGACTCGCTGGAGCCCGCGGGAGGAGGCCAGGTGAGCGCAGGTAGCTGCTGATTGGTCCAGCGTCACAAGGTCCCGCCCCCTGGCAGGTGGGGCGGAGGCCGGCGTACCCAAGGGAGTCGCAAAGCCCGGGCGGTCCTCCCCTGTGCCCTCCTGCGTCGTCCCTGCTTTTTTGGAACTGTTCGGGGAAAGGTACTCCGCGCCTCTCGCAGGTTCTGGGTTTGAAGGAAAAAACGTAACAACCCAGTCCATTCCCCAGCCTCCGCAGCACGGGAAGACAGATGTTTCATGGCCCGGCAGCTACCGCGGAAAAAAAGTGGAGATGCTTCCGAAACCCGACAGAAAACACAGGCTCTCCATTCACGCTGCCCCAGGCGCTGTTTTCAAAGCTTTGATGGAGGTGGGGTGTGTCCTCGCTCCCCTAAGCAGCGGGGTCTGCCCTCTGCTCCTTTCTGCGCCTCCCACGCGCCCGCTGGGGTTTTAAAGCTAGCAGTGAGGTTCCCAAAGGACCCAGTGCACGATCTGATATACCTTACTAGAGAATTGTGACTTCCGTTTCGCAGCTGAAGGAAGGAATGGAAGGTTGGAGAGAGCCCCGGTTTGAAAGCCTTCGAAGGGTTCAGGTTGGGGAGACGAGTATTAGTTATTAGACCCATTATTTCCAGTACCCCCAATATACATGCTTTCTCCCGCCAGTATAAACGTTTCCTCAATTTTATGTAAAATGCAAATTACGGAGATTTAACATCATTATTGTATGTATGGGTGCACTGTACACCTGGGCAGGTCAGAGGGACCATTTTGTGGAGTTCATTCTCTCTACAAATGGATTCTGGGGGTTGAACTCAGGTCATCAGGCTTGCACAATAAGTGCTTTACCTGCTGAACTGTCTCTTTTGCTTATTTATTTATTTATTTATTTACTTACTTACTTATTGAGACAGAGCCTCAGTGTGTAACCCATGCTGGCCTCCAACTCATGATAATCCTCCTGCCTCAGTCTACCAACTGCTGGGGTTACAGGAGTGAGGTGTTAATTAATTTTGGATACAAGCTCTAATGTGTACCAGGCTGGTCTTGAACTCAGTATGTAACTGAGGATGACCTTGAACTTCTGATCCTCCTTCCTCCTGCTTCTACCTCCCAGTACTAGAGATTACAGGCATGCATCACCTCACCTCCTTTAGGAGGTTCTAGGGATTAAACCCAGGGCTGCATGCATGCTAGGTAAGCTGTCTACCAACTAGGCTACAGCCCCAGCATCAAGGATGGCAATTTAAAATTTTATTTTTATTTTATGTGTATGTGTTTTGCCTGCTTGTTAGTATACCTAACATGCATGCAATGTCTGTAGTGGCCAGAAGAGGGCGTCAGATCCCCTGGAACTGTAGTTGCAGATGGTTATTAGCCACCATGTGGGTGCTAGGAACCAAACCTGGATCCTCTGCAAGAGCAGTCAGTACTCTTAACTACTGAGCCATCTCTCCAATAAATAATGGTAATTTTAAATGCAGTTTTTGTCAGCCTGAAATACTGTATATGATCTAAAAACTACCTGCTGTGCTATGATTGTCCTTGGAAGGCCGTACTCTTGCTGAGTTTTGGCTTGTTCCTCTACATTGCTGTTTCCACTACGTTAGACACGAACAGCTTTCCTTCTCCAGGCACACAAGTGGGCCCTGGGTATAGGCTCTAATCTTTCCACTCCACATGCCCTGTCCTTATAGAGCTGAGCTTTTGCTTTTTGTATTTTTTTCAATGCTGAAGCTTGAACACCAGGCTTTGCTTATGCCAGGCAAGTGCTCTACCACTGAGCTACACCTAGAGCTGAGCTTTCTGAGGCAGTCTAACGAGCTTTCCCAAGCTTTCCCTTGTTCCTTGTGCCCTCCTCCATCTTCTCTTGCTTCTGGAGAACCCCAGGATGGGGCCTCCTCTTTGCTTTCTCCTCTTCCCAGCTCAGATTTAGGAATTTCTTTATAAAATTTTGGCCTTCAAGCCTGACATTGTGGCACACGCCTTTCATCCCAGCACTCGGGAGTCAGAGGCAGGCAGATCTCTGTAAGTTTAAGGCCAGCCTGGTCTATATAGTGAGTTCCAGACAGCTGGGACTACAGGGAAACCCTGTCTCAAAAATAACCAAAGGGAAAAAAAAAATTGGCCTTCAAGAATTAAGCTGAACCTACTTGCTCTTCCTGGTGTTGGATGGATACTTGTGCTGCAGTCAGGGCATTAGATCTGGACCTGCTCTGCCTGAATTCAGACGTTCCTCCACTTGCTGGAGTTGTACCCCAGCTTGTCATCTCTCAATGGAGCTATTTTGACACTTGCCCTCTGAAGTACTGCCTGTGATCCCAACAGAGAGGAAATGGAGGCAGGAGGATTGCTGCAAGTTCAAGGCCAGCCTGTCTCAAAAATGGTAGAGCATACATGTTTAATCCCATCACTTGGGGAGGCAGAGGCAGGTGGAGCTCTGTGAGATGGAGGCTAGCCTGGTCTACATAGTGTGTTTTAAGCCAGCTGGTGGAAACCCTCTCAGAGAGAGAGAGAGAGAGAGAGAGAGAGAGAGAGAGAGAGAGAAGGCTGGGTGGGTAGTCTCCTGGACATATGGACCACATGCCATGGATCCTTCCTAAGCAGCTCACCTGCCCCCAGAGTCCTTTGGAAAACACCCATTCTTCTAGGCACCTCACACACCTAGTCAGTCTCACAAGGACTCTGGACACACCCAGCAGGCAGGACCCAGCCCCCCACCCCCACCGGCTCCCCAGCAGCCCCTCTCACTCACCCAGGAGGGCTGATCCCTCCATGGCCCCAGGGAGGTCATTGCTTGTATTAGAGTAATTCTGGTAGGCATAAGCCCAGCTTCAGGTGTGAGGATCTGAAGGGTCTCCTCCCTGTCCTCTGGGCAGCCCCCTCCCACTCCTGCCTACATCCTGTCGGCACCCTCTCTCCAGATACCTCAAGGCACCATGGGAACCCACAAGGTGCTCTGTGATCCCAGGATGACTGTTCTCATTCATTATCGTTCCATGGGAGGAAACCACATGAATCCTGTGACTAATAGGCCAGCAGAAGGAAAGCCTGTCTTGTTAAGTAAATAAAACAACGGGCACCGGCTCTCCAACCTGTATGTGGGAACCCATTGTTGGGGAGTTAAAAGGGCAGAGTGGGGCTTCATGTCAGGAAGTGTGGAGTGACTGTATAGGCATGTATCTGTGCACATGTGTTCACATGAATGCTCCTGTGCACATGTGTGCATGTTCAGGAGTGTGTGTGGGTATAAGGGGGGGAGACACAGAGAGACACAGAGAGAGAGACAGAGACAGAGAGAGACAGAGACAGAGCAAGAGCGCCCTGGGGAGATGACTGAGTGGGTAAAGTGCTTTAGTCAGAACCTGAGTTTGAATCTTCAGACCCCTCGTAATGTGGAGTGTACTAGTGCATCTGTATTCCCAGTGGTCTCTACAGAGGGACAGGAGGGAGACAGGAGACTTGTGGGAAGCTAGCAGTTCAACTAGTCAGGGTTACACAGTAGCAGACAACAAAGATACTTTCTCAGACAAGGTGGAAGGTGAGGACTGACATCCAAGGTTGTCCTCTGACACACACACACACATACACACACACACGACTCTGCTCATTCACAGACACACATCTCACACACATCTTACACATGTACTATACTAGGCTGTATTAGAATTAATGTGTACAGGAGGATTAAACAGATTATCATGTTAAAATCACTAAACTCAGTAACTGGCACTGAGCAAGGGCTTGGTGTTGTCTGGCATTATTGCTCTAGGATCTGGCTCATTTGGCTTCCTCTGCTTTCTTGGCTGGCACCCCCACTTCCGCAGCTAAGAGACTGAGAAGCGTCAGAATCCTTCAATTTCACGGCTGAGGGTAGCCTGCATCTGCCATCTCCGCTGGCCCGTGGTCCCAGCAGCTGCGGGTGGGAGGTCGGGAAACACGCAGGGAATGCCCGAGGTAGCCAGTGGGCTCATTACGTAGCTCTCAGTCGAGGAGGGGCTTGCCCTGCCCTAGAGGGAGGTGGGTACCCACCCGCGGTGCATCCTGGCTCAGGCACAGAGGGGACAGGGTGGCCCACCCTATTCTCGCCTCCAGGGTTCCCCAGCGCCGGCCCGGAGCCAGCCGAAGCCATTAGGCGGACAGTTAAACACAACCGAGCCTCGGGATACACGCTCTAATTAAGTAAACACTCGGCTGGAGAGCTATAGAGCGCGCTCATTTCCGCCTCCTTCCCAGGATCTCAGCATTCCGACGCGGGCCGCGAATGCAGCGCAGAAGCTGAGAGTCAGCTCTTCTGCCTGCCACTTGGACCACACCTCTGCCCTTTCCGCAGCTTCCCTAGCCGGTCGTTCGTTCATTCCACTGAATGAATCTCAGTCTTGAATTTCAGTTAAATTTGCCGACAGCCTGTTAAGTGCCAAGCGCTTGGGGATACAGTGTTGAACAAAGTAGATAAACATGATAAACATGCCTACATCCTTGGACCTTTTTTTTTTTTTTTTTTTTATTTTTTTTCAAGCAGAGGCTTTTTATCCTATCTGTTCTTACAAAATTTTAGGGTTTCAGCTGTTGTATCTAGGTCAATGATACACTTGGAGTTCATTTTTGTAAGAGGTATCAGGAGAGGGCAGATTTCTAGCTAGGGGGCTGGGGCGTGCCACGGCTCTTGTGCGGAGGCCAGAAGAAAAACGTAGGGAGAAAGTTTTCTCCTTTCATCATTTTGAGTGCCCTTACCTGCTGAGCCATCGCCCCAGACCCCAATGTTGGACTTTCTATCCCAGGATGTGGAGGGAGAGGAAACTAAACAAATAACTAAGTATGTAATATGTTAGATGTGTGCTGTGTAGAAGAAGAATGTGCAGATTCACCAGCAAGAGAGAGAGTTGGAAATCAGATAAAGTCATGCACTAAGTGTTTCTGTCAGGGTCTAGCAGGAAACAGCCCAGCCTAGCAGGTTCAGAGCCTCATGAGAGAACCAGAGGAGGCACCTGCTGCCAAGCCTGTTGACCTGCGTTAGAGACCCTGGATCCACATGGTAGAAAGAGAGAATCAAACTCCTGGATGTTACCCTTGGACCTCTACATGCATACCGTGGCATGAGCCTTCCCACCGCACATAAATAAATAAATGCAATAAGAAAAAGCAGGGTTCAGAAAAGCAAGGGGGCTGTTGAGGTACTGAAGACCAGCAACCTGGCAATGTTGCCACTCCAGACTGAAGGGAAAAGAGGAAATGGCAATCCATAGACATGGGGGCCTCTCTCCTGCCTACTGTGGCTGAGGAGGCACAGTCCATTGCCTAGAGAAGAGCAGGAAGGGTGCAGGCAGGAAACACCCAG